CAACTCCTCCCTTGGGAACAGAATTTCTCAGGCTTTGCCCCAGACTCTGGCCACACCTCCGAGAATTTGGCCACGCCCCGAGGTCTGAAGCTTGGATACGGCCTGCCTCTCATCCCAACCACGCCTCTGAGACTCTGGCCACACCCCCCAAATCTAACCACCCCCTAAGGTCCTAGTCAGACCTCAAGGCAGTGTCTGATGCAGCAAATTCACCCTCCCAGCTCCCCAAACTGACCACAGGTGCAAGCACAGACTAGATACTCACAGAAACACAGCCTTACAACCATGACTTTTAATTTGCAATCATTTTTTTTTCCTTTTTGGAATCATTTGAAGCTTACAGAAAAGTTGCAAGAATAAGACCAAGCTTTCTGTGTAACTTCATCCAGGTTCACCAATTGTTAACACCTCACCAGTTTGCTTTATCGCTGGCTCTTTCTCGCTCCCCCACCTCCCCAACCATCCGAGAGTAAGTTTCAGACATTTTGCCCCTTAGTGTATTTCCACGTTTATGGGCATTCTCTCACACAGCACAGTTATCAAAAGCAGGGCGTTTAACAGCGATACAACACTAGTACTAGCATCTAACTCAGTCTATAGTCAAATCACCAGTTGTCCCCAAACTGGTCCCCAAAATATATGTTTATTGATTTCAGAGAGGAAGGGAGAGGGAGAGAGTGATTGAAACATCAATGATGAGAGAGAATCACCGATTGGCTCCCTTCTGCTGTCCCCCTACTGGGGATGGGGCCTGGAACCCGGGCATGTGTCGTGACCGGAATTGAACCCAGCGGCATCCTTCAGTCCACGGGCTGACGCTCTACCCACTGAGCCAAACCAGCTAGGGCCCCAAACTGTCCTTTTTTTTTTTCCTTAAAATATGAAACGCTTCCCGAATTGGTGTGTCATCCTTGCACAGGGGCCATGCTAATCTTCTCTATATCGTTCCAGAGAGAGAGAATCATCGATGTGAGAGAGACACAGATATTAGTGACCTCCCACACACGCTCTGATCCTGCAACCAAGGTACATGCCCTTGAGTGGAATCGAACCCAGGACCGTTCACTGGATAGGGCTGATGCTCTATCCACTGAGCAAACCAGCTACACTAGGGTAATAAAAACACATTTTAAAAAAATAAAATAGGCCCAGCTGGGTGTGGCTCAGAGGAACCGAGAGGTCATGGGTTCAATGTCCAGTCAGGGCACATGCCCGGGTTGTGGGCTCGATCCCCAGTAGGGAGCGTTCAGGGGGCAGCCAATCAATAATTCTCTCTCATCATTGATGTTTCTATCTATCTCTCTCCCTCTCCTTTCCTCTCTGAAATCAAGAAAAATACATTAAAAATAAAATGGAAGCTTACAGGGGGGTCTGCAAAGATATCTAACCAGCAGATGTGCTGTGTGCGGCTCTCATGCTCTTGAAATTTATTTATGTACTTTTATGTTTTTAGTTGAGCATGCCCACACTCACATTTGGTAGCTTTCACGCATGCACCTGGGAGAGACAGTCTCTGAATGTCTGGGTTTACTCAGGGCGCTGATAACAAGTGAAACTTTGCAGCAAGGGTTGGGGCCTCCCGATTGAAAGTATGACTTCTGCCTCTAGAGAGCGAGGAGCATCTCTGGTGAGACCTGCCTTGGTGGCCTTGGTTCAGGGATGGGTGCTGGACTGTGCTAGGGCTGGGGGGCTGGAGCCCCTGTATATGAACCCCCTCCGTGGAGTCCGTCTCTCTCCGGGGGAAGGGAAGGGAGATGGGTGTGGAGGGACACAGCCCCAGTCCCGAGGTCAGGAGGCTGAGGGGATTTCCATGTGTGGAGAAGCCAGAGTCTTTGTTTTAGAGAAGTAACTTCACCAAGGGCAGTGCTGGGTTCGGCTCTTGAACCCAGGGTTAGTTCCTCACAAGGATGCACATCGCCCGCAGCCTGGACCCACCGGTACAAGGAGCCTCCTGACACACATTCCAGGCCGATGACGGCCAGGTCCTGTGCTACACACTTGGCACCTGCAGTCTCATTGGGTTCTCACCCTCCCACCACACAGAGTGGAATATTATTTCCGTTTTACAGAAGAGGAAGCTCAGGCTCCGGGCAGTAAAGTCTTGTTGCCTAAGGGTCACCTAGCCCTTCGGTAGCAGAGCCCTGGTGGGACTGATACCCCATGGTCCCTCTGTAACTATCTCTCCTCTTCCTTTTGTAACAGAACTTCAGGATTTTAGCTGGGTGCATGTGACCCAGATAAAACTACATTTCCCAGCCTCCCTCACGATACTCATCACCACGTGACTATATTCTAGTTACTAGAATGTGATGTGTGTGACTTCTGGGTTATGACCTCAAAGCGGCGGTTGTCAACCTGTGGGTCGTGACCCCTTTGGGGGTCGACCGACTCTTTCACAGGGGTCGCCTAAGACCATTGGAAAACATATAATTACATATTGTTTTTGTGATTAATCACTATGCTTTCATTATGTTCAGTTTGTAACAATGAAATTGGGGGTCACCACAATAAGAGGAACTGTATTGAAGGGTCGCGGCCTTAGGGAAGTTGAGAACCACTGGCTTAAAGGAACATAGAATTGACTTTCTTTTTTCCTTCTTCCCAGCGGGTGGAATGTGGATGTGATGGCGGGAGCTGGAGCAGCCATGTTGGGCCACCTGGTGGAAGTATGCGGTGAAGGCAGAAGCGTGGAAGAAGCGTGGGTATTTGACATTCTCAAGCTACTATTTTAGGCCTGGCTGTGAACGAAGCCTTTACATGAGAGAAAAATAAACTTTCATCTCATTCAAGATGCAACATATTTTAAATATATATTTTATTGATTTTTTACAGAGAGGAAGGGAGAGGGATAGAGAGTTAGAAACATCAATGAGAGAGAAACATCGATCAGCTGCCTCCTGCACACCCCCTAACTGGGGATGTACCCGCAACGAAGGCACATGCCCTTGACCGGAATCGAACCTGGGACCCTTCAGTCCGCAGGCCGATGCTCTATCCACTGAGCCAAACCGGTTAGGGCAAGATGCAACATATTTTAGTTTTTGTTGTTGTTACAGCAGGATAAAAAGTCTAGCTAACACACGTCGGCCTAGGCCTTCTTTATCCACATTTCCAATCAGAGCAAAGACTAGGTCCCATCATCCCTACTGCTTTTCCTCTATGTCCTCCAGAAACAAGTCCAAGATGATAAAAACAGCCATTCCTATGTGTTAAGTTCTTTTTCAGAGCCAGGCCCTGTTGTAAGCACAGTACACAATTCCTTGGAGTTTCATCCTCACAACAACACCACAAGGTAAAGGCTATTATTACTTTTTAAAATATATTTTTATTGATTTCAGAGAGGAAGGAAGAGGGAGAGAGAGATAGAAACATGCATGATGGGAATCATAGGTCAGCTGCCTCCTGCACATTCCCCCACTGGGGACCGAGCCCACAACCTGGGCATGTGCCCTTGACTGGAATCGAACCTGGGCCTTTCAGTTCACAGGCTGACGCTCTATCCACTGAGCCAAACCAGTTAGGGTTAAAGGCTATTATTGTGCCCTTATTTTTATAGATGAGGAAACTGAGGATCAGGGCTGGGGAGTCACCTGATCAAGACCACACAGCGAGGAACCGGAAGGGCAGAACTCGAACACAGCTCTGACCCCAGGGCCTGTGCTCTCAATGATGCACCTGGGTGTCAGTTCTGTCACTGACACCCATTTCCAGCAGCACCCGCATGCGCGTGCTTGCACTCTCACATGCACTCACTGCAAAGAATAGATACAGCCACACACAACCTTCCTGAGAGGCAAGAGGGCCCATGAGTATGAACATGGGAGTTGAAGGCAGCAGACTTGCTCTCTCTGAGCCTCCGTTTTCTCCTCTGGAATACGGACGGAATCATGGTCATTTCTGTTCACAGCCTCAAACTGGTCACACAGTGTGACAGGGCACCGGACACGCCACAAAGAATCGCAGACCCCATTGCGCAGTGGGGAGTGGGTCGGCTCCGTGCCAGGCAGTGTGCTAGCTGTGGTGGGAAGGGCAGCAGCGTCGAAGGAGGCCCTGCCCTGGCCTCCTGGAGCTCAGGGTCCTCTGGAGAGACAGTCAGTGCGCATGGCCGTACCCATGTGCTGGGACTACAGCGTGGGGCGTTCTCACACGGCCGCTTCCAGGGCCCAACACTCACCGTCGGCAGTGTGCGGAATGGTGGCCCACCGAATGGTGGCCCCCCACAAAGATATGTCCCTGGAACCTGTGAACATAACCTCATTTGGAAAAGGGTCTTTGCAGATGTAATTAAGAGAAGGATCTTGCCCGGCCGGTGTGGCTCAGTGGTTGAGTGTCGACCTATGAACCAGTAGGTCACGGCTCGATTCCAGATCAGGGCACATGCCCGAGTTGTGGGCTTGGTCCAGTGTGGGGCGTGCAGGAGGCAGCCGATCAATGATTCTCTCTCATCATTGATGTTTCTATCTCTCAGCTTGGAGAGATGCAGCCACAGGCTGAGAAGTGGCTGGAGCCACCAGAAGCGGGAAGAGGCGAGGGAGAATTCTTCCTGGTCTTGGCTGGGTGGCTCTGTTGGGTGGAGTACACCAAAGAGTTTTGGGTTCAATTCCTGGGCAAGGCACAAACCTAGGTTGCAAGTTCGATCCCCAGTCAGGGTATGTGCAGGAGGCAACGGATTGATGTTTCTCTCTCATGTTGACGTTTCTCTCTCTCTCTGAAAATCAATAAAACCATATCCTACGGAGAGGATTAAAAATATCCTATGTAGCCCTAACAGGTTTGGCTCAGTGGATAGAGTGTCCGCCTGCAGACTGAAGGGTCCCAGGTTCGATTCCGGTCAAGGGCATGTACCTTGGCTGCGGGCACATCCCCAGTAGGGGGTGTGTAGGAGGCAGCTGATCGATGTTTCTCTCTCATCGAGGTTTCTGACTCTCTGTCCCTCTCCCTTCCTCTCGGTAAAAAGTCAATAAAATATATTTTTTTAAAAAAAGGAAAGCAGCACTTACCGTTACTCAGAAACGCATGATCACTCATGAAGACCTATACAATGGGACCAAGGTCATCAGCTTCTCTTGAAGGACAGCCCTTTCTTCAAGGCCAGGGGTAGTGGGGGCTGTTGGAGCTCCAGTCCTTCCTCAGGGGTTCCAGCTTGTCTCTGCTGTCCCCACTGCACACCCATCTTCCCTTCCTGAAGAGCAGTCAATTCCTGTAGCAAATTTCTTATCCATACACCAATCTCCTAGCAACGCTGATTCTCTGATTGATCCTGGGGTCAGCTGAATCAAGGCTCCTAACGATCTCCTCCTCGTCCTAATCCCTGGAATCTGTGATGTCACTTTACGTGGCAAAGGGACTTTACAGACGGGATGAGGTTAAGGACCTTGAGATGGAGATTATCCTGGGTCCAATGTAATCACAGGATCCTCCTAAGAGGAAGGCAGGAGATCAGAGTAGATGTACAGATGGAAGCAAAAGGTTGTAGACACAAGGAAGGGACCAGGAGCCAAGGAATGCAGGCCAGCCTCTAGGAGCTGGAAAATTCTCCCCTAGAGCTGCCCGAAAGAACCAGCCCTGCGGACACCTTGGCTCAGTGAAACTGATTTTACACTTCTTTTTTTTTTTTTTTTAATATGCCTTTATTGATTTTTAGAGAAAGAGGAAGGGAGAGAGACAGATAGAAACATCAATGAGAGAGAAACATCATCCATCGGCTGCCTTCTGCACGCCCCCTACTGGGGATCGAGCCTGCAACCTGGGCATGTGCCCTGACCAGGAATTGAACCAGCAACCTCTTGGTTCCTGGGTCGACACGGAAACACTGAGCCACCCCTGCTGGGCGGATTTTACACTTCTGACCTCCAGGAGTATAAGACAATACACTTGTGTTGTTTTAAGCCACTTGATTTGTGGTGCTTTGTTAGTGTGGTAACAGGAAAGGAATGCTTGATTCATAAGAGATGTGTCCACAGAGTCAAGACACAGACATTGTATTCAGGGGGCCTAGAGCCACTGAGTAAATGTGACACACCAAGAGAGGCAGGCACACAGAAACAATCATACGACGACCGCAGGTCTCACAAATGCCACAGAGACAACCGCAGTGTCACACACCAGTCATCTGTGGCGCTCGTCGGAAACACACACACCCCGGGTCACAGTGGAATGTGACAAGGTCTCCCGGAAAAATGTCACACATTCGGTCATCCCCGAAAACAAGGGCTCAGTGACACAATGACAGAACATCCGAACACGCCAGAAATCCTAGAGTCACTCACACAGGCCATCACCCTTCTGAGACTCACAGGTCACTCGTGGAGCCAGCGGGGTACGGCTTTCAGGTGGGTGCACACACAAACACACGTCTCCAGACCTCCTCGTGAAAGCGGTCCAGACAAGCCAGGGATATGTTACAAAAATAGTTTATTACAAAAGAAATCCAACCAAAAATGCCTAATAATTTACATCGTTATAAGTGCCTGCTGCAGCCCGTCTCTCCCTCCTCATGGGCGGAGGGCAGAGGGAGCAGCTGTTCCCTGGTTCCACCAGCTCTGAGAGAGGAGAAGGAAATACATGATTGAGTGGGATTCCAGACAGGAGATTGGTGCCTGAGGAGAGCAGGGGGAAGAGTCCTGGGCGGAAGACGGAAGACGAGGTGGGGGGATATCTGTGCTCAAAAGAGGGGGCAAATGCATGTGCAAATCCTGGTTTGAAGATGGGGGGGGGGGCAGAGTGAGATCTTCACAGTTTCCAGGAGGGCTGACGCCACAAGGGCAGGGAGGTCCCTCCTCATGAGTCCAAGATCTGCCCCCCCATTTCTCTCAGCTGCCTCCTGGAGCTGGCGGGGGAGGCACCGGCCGGCCAGGGGCTTGGAGGACCCCGACAAAGGGCAGGAAGGCAGGTGGAGATGAGGGAGAGAGGAAGAAATTGGGGGGAGCCATGGGAAATCCAAGGGGATCCTTGGGAGGAGACTGGGAAGGCGAGGAGGATGGTGATGCAGAGAGAAGACCTGTGGGAAGAAGAGAGAAGGCGGGTGAGGGCAGTGCGACTAGATCCAGAGAGAAGGGGGTTGGGGTCTCAACTCCTGGATTCGGAGGGGCGCCGGGTCTGGAGCTGGAAGGAGGGAGCTGGGGCTGGAGCTGGTTTCTCACCATTGGAGCTGAGGCGGCTGCTGCTCTCGGGGGAGGTGGTGGCACTCCGGTCAGGGGAGGGCTCTGGCTGTGACGCAGGCGCAGGACGCGTGGCTTTCCCCCTCAGGATGTCGATGACCTGCAGGAAGATGGGGGTCACCACCAGGCCACCCCCTCCCTCCACCTCCGCTTGCTCAAGGGTCTGTCAGCGAGCACAGCCGCCAGGTGAAGGTGGGCACGTTGCCTCCTTTCTTGGTGCCAGGGAGGGGCGGGGCCAGAGGGAGGGGCGGGGCCAGAGCCAGGGGCTGGACCACTCGCGGGCTGGTGATGGAGAGGAGGATGAGAGCTAGAATCCCCGATGGGTCAGCGCGAGACAGGCTCTCCTCCTGTCTAGACCTCACACCCACTCTCTGCGCTCCACGCCTGGGCACAGACGCACGCGCACACCCCTGGGTCTGTTCTCTGGGA